CTTTGGAGGGGGTATCTGTAGGCGTCTAAAAATACTTATAGATATCCAAATATAGCTCAAGACAAAAAGAAGATAATGTTATTATCTAAGTCTGAGAGGATCATCCAAAGCTAAAAGAAGCAAAGGAACAGGTGAAACAACATAGAAGAATAATATGAATATCCGCGACAAGGAACACTGACGTGCATAGGCACGGCAGTGAAAGGTGACGTGCGCACAAACAGAGTAGCATGCCTATTAAAAGTTGTAGAGCTCTTCTCTAGCTTTCTAACGCATCTTGGATCACCTCATTCCGATATCGGACGAGGGAGTTAGAGCCAAAATACCCGAGATAACGCAAACTGCCTCGAAGGTGCGCGACAGTGGTAGCTACCGTGGTAATGCACGACAGTTTAAGCCATGATATGATCCAAATATGAAAAATCTCAAAAGACAAAAGTTGTAGATCTCTTCGTTAAATTTCCAACGCATCTTGGACCACCTTATTCTGATATGGAACAAAGAAGTTAAAGCTAAAATACCCGAGAGGTATGCGTCAGTGAAAACTGTCACGGCTATGTGCGTCACCGTTCACTGCCGCGCACACTGAGAAGCTAAAAACATTATTTTTGATAGTTGTCTTGAGTTTCGTGCGGCCCACATGGCTTATTAACTGCTGGGGATCATTTATGAACATGGGGGAAGCAGTTACAAGCTAAAATCATGCCCACTATCCACGAAAATCATGGCATTTAAGGAGTTTAAAGTCGTGGGATGACGGTTACAAACTGGATTGTAACTGCTCCTTTGGTCATGGTAGCGGCGACTGTCGCGCCCAAAAGGACATTTCTTCAGCCGCGTCGCCTATGGCTGACGCGCCCAAAGGAAGTGTGACTGGTTGGTTATTTTTCCCTCATTTCAACAGTTATGTATCTATATCCCTATAAATACCTTCCTATGCACGAGATCCAGGGGGGAGGGCAGATCCAAGGCAATTAGAGCATAAAGGCTTGAGCTTTTGGTGATTTTGAGCAAGAGAGAGAGTCTTCATCTTTCAAAAACATTTTAAAGAAGCTTTTGGTGATTCCTAGAGATCTAAGCTCAGACTTGATCTTTGGAAGAGTGAACATCTTACACTGATAAACGAAAAAGAACATTCAAAAGCCTTCACGGTTCAATCAGAATCTTATAAATCGGCGGTCCACGGGCTAACGCACCCCCGGCACAGGCAAAGATCCCACAAAAGCAAAAATCGATAAACAATTTCTGTGTTATTTTCTAGAGAGTTGTAATTTTCTTTTTTTTGTGTAAGAGAAGTCTTATAAAAAGGCTATTTCTTTTGAATTTGTTGTAATCAGCTAAAGATATAATGAATTCTCTAATGAAACCAACTTTTGATGAAAACAGAGACAAGGTCCAATTTAAGAGGGGAGGAGTTGTCAGGAACCGAGGCTATGTCAAGAGCTAATATTTCAAGTGCCAACCAGACAAATGTCCAGCTCAACCGTGAACCTGTCAGTTGAGGACTGATACGCAAGTTATGGGACTGATATGCAAGTTTATTGAAGATGTTGGGGAGCTATCTACAAGTAATAATAAGTGCTGAGGTTTTACACAAATGTTAAGTTTAGTAACAGTAATAACTGTTTCTGTTATCAAGTAATAATAAGTGCTGAGGTTTTACACAAATGTTAAGTTTAGTAACAGTAATAACTGTTTCTGTTATTTCTGTTTGTGCACGTGCACAGAAGTTGAGCTAAGAATGTATAAAAGAGAAAATGTAAACATTGAATTGGAGTTGAATAATAACAAGTTTCCTTCTTCTAGTTTACAACTATTTCTCTATACTCTCTCTCTCTCTCTCTCTCTCAACTCTTCCTGAAATTCTCTCTTCAATCTATCTTCAATCTCTGTCAAATTCTTCTCAAGCTTCATCAAGATTTCCAGCAATGGCCAGGGATGGGCTTAGGAAGGTGAATCGAGGTTCACGAACCTCACAACTGCATTGGTTCAATCTTTCCTCTTTATTTGTGACATGTAGATTGATCTTTTGATTTTAAAGTTCTAAACCTACCTGATTATCCTGAGATATAACAATATGCCATGTTAACACTTGTAATTGGTCCTAAACATTAAGTAGAAATCCTAAGATGTAGAATGTAAAGAAGTGAAAGCACAGAAAAAATAAGAAAAAAAATTCAGCTTCTTTCAGTCAGCATAGTATATTTTGCTTGGTCTTTAGTTAGGTTCTTCTTTTCTCAAGACTTAAATTCGACATTTTCCGAGAACCACCGTCAATTCAAATCAGCATTGTATTCAAGTCAATGTCCCTTTGAAGCCTTCGGGTGACCTTATCTTCAACGCTGTAGGGCTGTGTTGACTTTGAGGGGCCAATTGAAAAAAGCTCAAGAATGTTAATAACATTTGTTGGTAGTAGGTAAACAGTCGGGGCTAATTTTAGAAAACCCCTCAAATGTGGGGCATCCGATTCGTGTTGATTCTTCCCCCAACTAATGAAGAGATCTTGAAAGCCCCCACCAATTGTTTTAATATAAGAAAACCCCTTTAAATTTCGGGATGTTTTAGATAACTTTCCTCAACTTTGAAAGTTTGATCAAGGTCTATTTAAGGAGGGATTGGAGAAGAAACTAAGAACAAGAAAGATAGAGGATATTTGCACAAGTTTGTGAGATCAAATTCTAGCGTTTGTAAGAGATTGTACATTTGAATTTGATTTCTTGAGGCTCATTCAACTTCTTCTCATAATGCTCAAATGTCGAGAGATCGTTTCAGCGAGTAGGAGTGCCTTTTGCATTTAATCTCACATCACTCCTTCTTGGATCATCGTCAAGGTTGATTTAAAGAATGATTTTTTTTAAGAGGGCTTGTAAGGTCTTTTTAATTGTGCTTTAACTATTCTAGGGTTAGCTATGTATTTTAAACTTGCAAGTTTGATGGCGCACCCAAGCCGGGTAATCGAGGGTTGGCATGCTCAAGTCAAGATGATTAAATATGATTAGTTATGGCAAGGTTTCTTCTGGTCATTTTGAGGAGTTGGATATCTTGACTGGTTTCGGATAGATTCTGCAGTTCTATTTGTAAAGCTATTGAATCGGGTTGTGATTCAGAGATAACTATCATAGTGAAGAAGACCTTTCGCAAGAAGAAAAAATGGATGTAGTATTTTGATCCAAACCATTATAACAATCTCGTGTGTTCCTATGTTAATTGCTCTTAGTTTTCGTATTTTATTTTCCGCTGCATATTCTGTATTTAGCCAAAAAATTTGTAGCAATCCTCTTCATCCTCCCTCTGGGCTTGCATCCCATTTCCAACATTTCACTTGTCTCAAACGCAGTACTATAATTCAGGAAAAGAATATTCTCGTACATTTTGCTCTTCTATTGTCACCATTGTGAGTTGTTTATCTCAATTTTGTGGTGAAAATAATGTTCTTTCAAACACATACTAAACTATATACTCACATTTTAAAAAAATAGAAATGACTCAAAATAATACAAGTTGATAATTTTATAGTTATTTTAGTAAAAGCTCCAAACATTTGTTTCAATTTTAGCCTAACTCAGGATTTGTACTTTGGAGATTTGGCGAAGAGAAAATAGAAGAGAAAAGAAAAGAAAAGAAAACTTTACATTACATGAGGTTTGATTGCAGTTTAAAAACTTCCGGGTGTAAATAAAAAAAATTAAAATTTCAGTGTATCAAAAGTTAAACATAGATTTCCAATAAAATCAAGAAAAGAAAAAGGGTGCATGGAAATCAATAAGATATTATTTTTATTCATTTCCATCTCTAAAATTCACCACAACATCCAATAAAATATCATTTTCATCCCACAACTCATCTCATATCATCTCCTAAAAATAAACAAAACACAAAAAATAGGTCACATCATCCAACTCATCTCATCTCTATCAAATCTCATCTTTAAAAATCACTCACATTATCCAATAATATGGTGACAACTCATCTCATCTTATTAACATTTCATTTACACCCATTTCCTTCAAAAAAGCTATGAAATCGATTTCCTAAAGTGTGAGCCATATCATCCAATAATATAATGTCAACTCATCTCATCTCATTTATTTTCTTATTTTTATGAATGAACCAAACACAAGAAAAGAACCTATTACAGAAAATATGTTTCTTATAATTTATTTTCTTATTTTTTTAGCCAACCAAACAACCTCAAAACAAATTTTTTTAAATCATCCAATAATAATGTGACAACTCATCCCAACCAAACAATCTCAAAACAATTATTCTTAGAAATAGGTTTCCTATTTTTTGATTTCCCTCTTTTTTTAGGCAAACAAACAACCCCTTAAAAAAAGGGTAAAATGTAGATGAAATTGTTCCAAATAGGGTATTGTTACAGGTTGCAAGCATATTTACATTAATCCAAATACTAAGCACCATAAATATGTTAAATGATAAGTAGTACTGCAGCATTCCAAATAGGGTATTAAAGTGCAATCAACTCTATTTGCATGTTGTAAGCATATTTAAATTAATCCAAATACTAAACACTATAAATATGTTAAATGAAAAGTAGTACTGAAGCAAATACCTTTTACAGTCAAGACCTATAGTTAAAAAAACATAAGCGAGGAGGAATACAGCAACAAAAGCAAAAGGAAGCGTCCTCTCTCTTTCAGAGAAAGAAAGAATTCCCAAAATTTGGTGAAAACCCGTTAAAAAAAACAAAGAACTCGAAGATAAAATAAGACATTGTTTTGCAATTCTGAACAAATCATCACGAGCTGCCAATCTTTGTAACAAATTCAAACTTTTTCATGTTAAATTTGCAGAGGCACATACTTACATGTCGACAAGCTCCCTCCCACAGGACAAATGAAAAGGTTAGAACCTGCAATGTTACAATAAAGAATGTAAGATGCCTACCAAGCTAACATGGTCACGACAAACCAAACCAAAAGTGGCCTTGGTTTCAGGAGTCCATTGTTATCCATGATAGGACCTGATAACAACTAAAATTTATGAACCAAATAACCCCTTTATTAAAGTTTTATGTCACAAAAAAGCAGCACAACCAACATTTTCCACACCCACCCAATTACATCAAGCTAAACCTCCACAAACTCTATGAAACACATTGCACATACTTTAGCACATGGCTTATGCGCTTGCCATGACTACAAGATCTCTATAAAACACATTGCACATACTTGTACACCTCTCCATGCTTCAAACATTCATGTATAAGATAAACAAAACTACAGAGTTACAAGATCTCGAAACAATTCTTCAACTCCCAACTTCGAAATCCATGCTCATAGTGCAGAAACGTAATCATCAAATTCTTGCTGGATTGAAACGCCCATAAAAATGCTGATGAAGAATTAGCTTTGGCTGATGCAATCAATGGTTTGATATCAATCCTCACCATCATTAACACTGGTAAAAGGCTATTTTTGTACATTTGACCTGTACAATGAAGGAAGCCACTTGCCAGTTTAATCTCCAACAAGTTTAGACTTGAGTTCCTAAGGAACTGTCAGTTTTTAGCTAATTCCATGCTCATAAAAATACATTGAGGATACCAACGTAAACCCAATAATCATTTTTTTTTTCTCTTTGTTGCTACGAAGTTTGTCGCAAGATAACAAAAGTCCATAACAACCCTATTCTACTATCACTATCTAGGCTTTTGGCTACTGAAGCTAGAGAGGCTCTCTTCTCCATCAGCAATAACTCCACTCGCTGCACACAAATTATTTCTACAACCCCTTTTCTGATTTCTCGGATTATAAAGAAGTTCAGCATCGGGGAACGAAGAGTTATTAGGGATATCCAAGAGCAAATCATGGTCAGAACTATCATCTGTGAATTGAAGAGAGCAGAGCAAAGAGCTCCTCTCGGGTGTAGCAAAGATCGTTCTTGGACTGAAACAAGTTCCATCATTATCAACAAATTCCTCAGCATCATATATTGTTCTTGAGTTTGTTGAGTTGGGCTGAAGAGAAACTATTGATTGAGGATTTGTACCACTTCCTCCGGATTTGGCCAGTCTTTTTGGGCTTTTCACGGCACTGTGGAGCTCTGAAATTTAGAATGTAACAGCTTATCCAATTTGTTACAAGTAATAGTATTGTTTGCATGAACGAAGAGACACAAACAGAAAAAGAAAAGGGAAAAAAACTATAAAGGGTCCTCTATAGAAAATCAAAGGAAAGGAGAAGATAATATGTATCCCAAGATACATTTTAAAGTTGGTGATTTCACTGATACAATATTCTGATGGCACTACCATTTTCATTGTTTGCGCTAATAGTTATTGATTGACGCTTATCTGATTTAAAATTGGTAGTGAGACAGCTCTCATGCTTTCTCTTCCTGCCCGTATGATTTTGAATAGAAGGCCCTCTATAGGATCTTTTTCTCAAGACTAATATGTGCAAGGTAGAAATTTGAGGAAGACCGACCTGAAAGATGCAGACTCTGGGAGTCTCCAGCCCTCTTAAGGGACGTGAAATTGGAGTGTTCAAGAGAAATAGATCTGCTTGCTATTTCCTTTCTTCCGAAATTCTGTTTTATTTTAATATCCTAAAGCCAAGTGAAAAGTAATCAGCTCACTGCTCAAAAGGACATGAATAAGTTCAAAATACAATCTGAATGGCTCTACTCTCAGATCATACCTTCAGCCTTTTATAGTGTTCAACCCATGTAGGTCTCGAGAAATTCTGTAATACAAGCCTCTTCAAAATCCTATAATCTCCATTGTCTGTTCCTGAAATGGACGACTCAAAGATTCCTTCTCGAAGTAGTTGCTGGAAATATGAGAAAGTCTCCATGAATTGAGAACTGTTAAACATGGTTCTGAGGCTGCAAAATATAGGCAAGAAATATCATACAATATGGTAACATAACAGATTCTTATAGAATAAGAGATGAGCATATATCATGAAGTAGGTGAAGTTACCTTTCAGGATATTTAGCAGTATCTGAAGAAGGAAGATATTTCATCAGTCTCTGTCGTTCTTCATCCGTCATATGCCTCATTGACACCTCAAAGTTAACAATGTCCTACAATTAAAACAAGATAAGCTCGAATATGGAAAATTAAATTAAGAACTATTACATCTTAACAGTATAGATTAATAAATTCTCAAAAAGGTATTGAATTTTTATGTGACGGAACATCATAGAGCACTAGACTTACTTTCAAATCAGTGAAACCAAGGGGTGAGCCTCTATCTCGAAGAAGGGGCAATTTATCAGTGCAAGATATATCTCTGTTGAGGCAGATACAAAGTATTCAGAACTAATCCAACAAATTATTAAGCTCATAAGATAGATATGTATTAAACAAGTTTGAAGATAAGTAAGCCTTTATATTTTTAGGATTAATGCGCTCTAATATCCTAAAGTTTCAGCGATTTTTAACTCTGGTACCCAGAAGTTTAATAATTTTGAAGTTATACCCAAAGTTTCACTCACTTGTAACTTTAATACCTTGTGTCACATCACCATTACATTTGCCCAAAACAAAACTTTCCATTTAACTTTCCCTTTCAATTTAGGGTTACTCGGAATTTTGAATAGTAACGTAATGGAAGGTATGAAACTTGAGTGAACTTTGAGGTATTACTGGGCCAAATTTAAACTTCAGGGTATCAAAGTTAAAAATCAGTGAAACATTTGGTTATTAAAGGCAAATAGTCCTGTGTTTTGAGTAGCATAACGCTTGCAAAAGTAAATACATAAAGAATCACCTTTTTACATTCCCTTGTGCCACATTTATTGTGGAGTTGTTCAATTTTTCAATGCCAACAGCTGCTAACAGCATTCCTTTACTTTCACTATGTACAGGAAAGGATGCTGAACCTGAATAAGCCTCATTGGCTATGCATGACTTATCAATTGGAAATGAGCTTGCTTCTGATTCCTCCTCAATGGCTTTTGGATTAGGATATCTAAGGAGAAAACTTCCATTGCCAATCTCAAAAGAACCAATTGGAGTTTCACCTTCATAGAGAAGATCTTCTTCTGATGATGAAAGATAAGAAGACTGTTGTTTGTGCATTATTGTGTACAAGTCTTTTGTGAGTTTTTCAACAGGAGTGGGCTTAGGGCGCAAGATGCACGTCCTTTTCTTGGATGGCACTTGTGACTCCCAAACATTGGATTGAGCCGAACCTGATGATAAGAGGGGGGGAATAATCATTAAAAGCTAAACTTAAGAGGGCTAAATGACTATGGAGAATGAGGAGCATCATTTACAACTGAGAAATCCTTACACACATTCATTCTGTGATGTAATTTGAATGGATTTAAACAAAAGTAGAACCAATCATTTTATGTTTACTTCCATCAGAAAAACTTATAAAAATGAGAAATTTGAAAACCGGAAACATTTGCAATAGTAGGATATAAACTTATTTCATGAATTCACATCATACAAGGCCATCTTATTTTATAAATACTAGTTAGAAAAGAAAGGGTAAATGGTAGTCAAAGCTTTGGATAGATGATTGAACCACTCTATAATTATGTTGTTCCCTTGTCCACTTGATACTGAAAAGGGAAAAAGACTTAAACTTGGCTACTACATAAGGGGAAAAGGGGAACAACCAAACTTCTCAAACAGCCAAACTCAAGACAATGCTACCTTGTATCTGCAGGAAGCTAGTGGACAATTCGTCCAAAAAAAAATTCTTTAACTAGAAAAAAAAAAGAAATCTAACTCATCCTTCTCTTTTTGTCCATCTTAGTCTTTACTTGTATGTCTTTCTCCTCTTACCCATCCTTCTCTTTTTCATCTTCTTACATCTGAATATTTATATCTTTTTCTTATGTGTGTGTGTGTGTGTGTGTGTGTATATATATATATATATGAAATATGAAGTGGCAACTCATTTTACCAAGAGCTACAAAGAAATAAACTAATGGTGAGGAACAGCTTTCTAGTCACATCAGATCATCTGAAACTTACCAGCTCCATCTCTTGGTAGCTTATTTTTGCTAAATGGCGTGGCATCTCATAACCAATATGCCATACATATATAACCAATTTTTCTATAAGCCATCTCATATGGTTAAACCTTGATCATCACTTAATCCTAGTTCAAGTAGGATTCTGTTTTTTTTATTATCAATTTTCCTACAGAAATACGTGTAGAGGAATATATATATATATAGAGAGAGAGAAACACAACAGAATGGGTTTTTTTTGGGGTACATATATAACCAATTTTTCTATAAGCCCTCTTATATGGTTAAACCTTGATCATCACTTAATCCTAGTTCAAGTAGGATTCTGTTTTTTTATTATCAATTTTCCTACAGAAATATGTGCTAGAGGAATATATATAGATATATATATAGTATATATATATATATATATATATATATAGAGAGAGAGAGAGAGAGAAGAGAGAGAAACACAACAGAATGGTTTTTTTTTTTTTTTTTTGGGGGGGGGGGGGGGGCAGGAAGATGAGGTCGTCTCCTCCTCTTAAATTTGGTGTTTAAAAGTTAAAAGTTAGTAGTGTAGTGGGGTGATACATAGGGGTTTCTTGCTGTACAATCAGTGTGGACATCCTCCTGCTTGTGAGTAAAGAAGAATGTGGCAAATCTACATGAAGGATCTGCATCTGGTAATCTCTAAACTAATTTAAATATTCATTAGAGGTCATGCTAGGGTGTCATTTAATTTCATTGTGCATGATTATAAACTTGATCCCCCTAGATGCGCAAGTTACCTAAATATGACAATGAGCAACCCTCCAAAAATAATCTAGAAAAGAGAGTTCAAAAGGTAGAAAGATGATAGATCTACTAAGGAAATGGCATTCAATGCTAAGGCACAAATGCTAAAGAGATGATAGATCCACGAAGGAAATGGCATTCAATGCTAAGGCACAAATGAAACTAAAGAGCCATAATTCCGATAGCGTGTTGAAAGTGCATTTATCTAGGTTTCTCTACTAATGAAAAGATAATCTATCATGTGGTTAATTAGTTCTTGACAAGTGGAAAAGAAATAGGTTGACATTTAAAGGCATATTCTATATATCATTTAAACCTGTCAAATCACTTGCTTCGGTGGTTCCAAAATGTGCACAACTCTCTGAATATGAAGTTGCCGATCCAGAGCTAGACCGATTGCTCGGGTCCCCCTCTAGAATTTTCCGGAAATTCTGGTCAGAATATGGGATTTCATGTCTTTTTTCCACAGAACCACAGCTCTGCTTTATCTTCTGCAGTCGTTTCTCTTTGGGCTTGAAAGGTATCACTTTGGGCTTGGCCATTTTGAATTCTTCTTGATCAATTGGTTCACGAGCATGAAGAGGGGTGTAGTTAGTCAAAGAACCCTTTGTTCTCCACCTTGAACCACATGCATTGCAGAGAACTGGCTTATCGGGGGGGCCATTTCGCCAAAGAGGAGTAGCTGTTATGAAAATTAATATTAGCATTCGTAAAGGCTATACAGTAGTCATAAATCCTACATAATTAAAGAACAAAGATTTTCATATCAAAGATAACATTCTATCTCAAAATTCCACGAATCCTTGTACCATATAGAAATGAACGAAGCAAGAACGTTTAGTATAACTACGCTCTTATCTTTTTCTTGTTAGATCTTGGGAAATAGAAACATCTTAGATGCATCATATAACTTCTAAAGGTGGTTGTTAGTCTAATCCAGCCAACTTTGAACTTGCAAATAGATACATCTCAACTAATGCAAAATAAGCAACTCAACATAAAATGTAGACCTTGCTTAATTACACTTCAATTTATTTGTTTTGTCACTTTATTAGCAAGCATTATCTCATATAATCGACATAGGCAAAAAGAACAATCAATCTGGTCAACCTTCGAGTTACTATTGGTATCAGATAAGGTAATTTTTTGCATTGTCCTTCATGTTTTTTGTGCATATTCTAGAATTGTCCTCATGTCAGTGTGTCATATAATATCATGCCTTGGTCAGCATTTTCTTCTGCATGATTGATAGCAGATAGCATGATTATGTTGCTTGCAGACAGCCACATAGAAATCACAATGATGATTGAACTAGATATATAGAGCAAAGAGATGTTCAGTTGATTCTACCAGAATGTCATTTTGACAAATAACTGCAAAGCATAAAGATCAATAGGAAAAGCATATGAACTGTACTGACTAGAGAAAACATAAGACATCACCAATATTATGGATTTCCAGATTCAATCTAGACTACCAACTTAAGTCACAGAAAAATTCTGTGTTCAGTTCCTTCAATGAGAAAACAAATAGGTCTTTACAAAATAGTCATGTATGGAAATTTTCGCAATAATAGGCGAAAATATGGAAGAATACATTTTATCTATACAGCTAAGAACAAAGGAATTGAATTTACAATAACAGTCAGGCTGAGTCCAAAGGATGTGCACACCCAATGTGTATTGCTAGAATTTACCACAACTGAGTGGTCGGACGAGCACAAACCCTACTTATTCTATGAGGCATAGTTTACCATACACTTTCACTTTGTTATAGATTAGAAGCACAAAAGTGGGAAGCGGCTGCTATATGATTTTAGCTTAAATTTGTACGTCAAATAAGAATCAATAGCAAAGCTAATGTCTCAATAGTCAGACTCCTAGCAGAAATTACTCCAAACAAGTGCCCCTTATGAATACAATGACAAACGAGTTAATTATATATCCTCAACACATTCCCAATTCTTTGGAAATGTTTGTGAGCTACTACAGTTTCACAACCATTTCTATCATGGGCATTTGTTCGAAGTTCATTTGTCTCACAAGTTAATGTACAATAACACAAAATAATGTTTTCAGCAAAAGGGTTGAAGCCTGAAACAAGGAGAGGTCAACAAGCCACCAAAGGGATTTCAAGTTATAAACATTTGCAGGCAAAAAAAGATCAATATGCTATATTTCGCTTGTCGAATTCGATGACAAATCATCACCAAGAGTTCACACTTGCTCATAAGAGCATTCCCACAAATTTTACCAAATTAAAAAAATAGCCCAACACTTTCTAGTAGATAAACACAAATCCCTATCCAAAATGGGCTTAGAATTCCAATACTGAAATTTGACAGCATACAGAAGATGCAGACAAAGAAAATAGAAGATTAGATGTTCTTCTTCTGAAACAACACATTAATTCTAAACCCAAATTCCAAAAATCAAATAAAAGGATAAAAAGAAAGTAAAGCAAAGATCCAGAGCCTCATAAAAAATTACATGAATCACATCCCACACACACACACAAATAAAAAAAAGAAAAAAAAAGGAAAAATGAAAGAGTGAAATTAAAAACTAAGAAAGAAAGAACAAGAGCTCACTTGTGACACCACAATGGCGGCAAGGTCCATGCTTCCCCATGCCTCCCAACTCCTCCTCAATTTCAAACAAAAATTCAGCAAAAATAAAAAAACCCGAAAAACAAAAAAACGCAGTTCCTTTTATATATCAAAGTCTTAACAAAATTAGGGAAAAAAATTTCTGCAAAATATATTTTTAATAAAACTATGTGGGTGGGTTTGGAGAGGCTTTTTCTGTGCAATCCATAAACTATCTTTTGTTCTTTTTTCTTTCCCCTTCTCCTCTCTCTCTCTTTTTCTCAGTCTGTAGACCCAAAAACAAAGAGGAAAAACACAGAGGCAAAAAAAAGGAGAAATTGAAGAGGAAAAATTTACAGGACTATGATGGGTTTTTAGGTAGGAATCTGTACAATCCAATGGAAGGAGAAGACCAATGGGGGAATCAAAAATTAATGGCAGATGAAAGGAAAAGGAGAGGAGGTGAATAGGTGAGGGGAGCCTTCTCTTTTTTATATTGTAATTTCTTCTCTCTCTTTCTTTCTGGTGACTCCTTATATAGGTGGGACTCAGTGTGAGCTGAGTAAATTACGACTAAATGGGAAACTTTAATTCATTTTTTCTTACACTAATGCATGCTGTTTTCCATATATTCCCTTTAAATCATAGTAATTGTATTTTATTTTTGTCCTTCAAATCATGGTAATTGGTAATTTATATTTCAAATTATTATCATCTTGCAATTTTGCCCCTCATCCTAACTTCAAGAGAGTAAATTCGCAATATTTTGTTAAAATATGTGTTAATAGATGACTAAAAATACTTTCGTTCAAGTTAATTAAAGTTTTTAAAAGTTATCAGTATGGTAAGAATACTATTAATAGACAATTTGAAAGGTTAAAAGATGAAGAAGAAGAGAAAAGAAAGATATATTGTTGTTCTAACAATATTAAGATTACTTATCTTTAAGTTCAATTAACTTAATTAATATTAGTTGAGTTATTTTCTAAGAAGTAACCATTCTAACATAGTACACTGATTTTATTTCTTAAAGATTAGGTTAAGAGATAAAATTGAGAAAACAATCAAAACAATTTCGAAGATAAATATCAATTATGAGATTTGAGAGATAATTTTAAAATTATCTATAGTTGAAGGGCATATAGGAACAAGTTGTCTGTATATTTTGGTGTTGGATGTGTCAACTTTTCCCTTTGGTGTAGCGGAGAGTATTGCACAATTATCCTGTTGACCTTGGACTTTTCTGTGATAATAATATTCAAAATCTTTAGGATTAAAAAACTGCTAAGGAAGAGGAGGGGCCAAAAAAGACAAGGCAAAGGCATAATAGAAGGGTCTTCATTTTTTTTTTCAATGGAATGGCAAATTTTGGATTTCCTTTATTCAGGAAATATTACAGGATTTCATTAAAAAGAAGTAGATATTAATAAAGGAAAAAAAAACAATGATGCGAGTTTATTTTAAATATTGTTTTAGAAATATAAGTGACATAATGATAATTCATTTTTTAATAGAATATTATTGTGCACCAATATCAACTATCCAGTATCATGTTTGTTTTTCTCTCGAGTAGGATATGGATGAGAAAATAATACCAAGTGCTTTTATATTGTTTAGAATTATTAAAATAAGCCCTTTCTCAAAAAAAAAAGAAAAAGAAAGAAAAAGAAAAACATGATACTAGAGCCACATATTCTCAAATAGCATATATGTTGATGGGATCGGATTCAATTAACGAAACTAGATTTAGTGGATACGCTAGACTTACTTACCTTCCTCTAGGTGTTGCTATTCAAATTCAAAATTCGTAGTGTGTGTTTAGCAATTTTTTAAATAAATATAGATTAGTTTTGAACTAGCTCCACATACATGGCTTAAGTTATGCTAAGGGCCCTTTTGGATAATTAAAGTATTGGAAGTAAGAAGTAGGTTACAGAAGTAACTTTCAAAACTATGAAATAACATTTTTTTATTTGTTTCATATATTTTTAGAAGTAATGGAAGTAGAACTTCTTCCTCTTCATTTTTTTTGTTTGGATAATATTTAAAAATATTACAAGGAAGTAATTAATACATGTTGCTTCCATTTTATTCTTGTTTGGATTGTCATTAAAATAGAAATAGAAATAGAAATGGAAGTATTATAACACACCGCACGCATCGAAGATTGATGTGCTTAAAAGTTAGAAAGCTTACATCACGACTAAAAGAACATCAATAATTCAAAAGCTGGACAATGTAGTAGAAACAAGGTGACAACCTGCATCTGATGGAAGCACATGTATTGAAAACATTGAATTGGTAGCAAATAAACAGTTCCTTGCAACTATCCAATCACGAAGCAACCTAATAGAAGTTTTGTTGCTTAAGTAACAAATATAAACGAATAATTTCACACAGAACATATTTGCATGATGTCGACAAAATTATTAGTAAAGTCTTCTCAGCTGTTACTCCAATATTAAAAAAATTGAATAGATCCATTATCAGTACAAATATAACAGCATCGGTCCTTTCCAAAGGTGATAATAATTACATGTTCCATGGTTTACTATGCATGAATCCTTGATTGAAGTTGTAGCTCAAAGGAGCAAACGAATAATTTCACACAGAACATATTTGCATGATGTCGACAAAATTATTAGTAAAGTCTTCTCAGCTGTTACTCCAATATTAAAAAAATTGAATAGATCCATTATCAGTACAAATATAACAGCATCGGTCCTTTCCAAAGGTGATAATAATTACATGTTCTCTGGTTTACTATGCATGAATCCTTGATTGAAGTTGTAGCTCAAAGGAGCACAAACATGATAGTAGATAACAAGATAAAGTTGTAGATGCACAAGGATTTTCGCAAGTCATTAAATAAGTAAGAATAAGAATAGGAGTTTAAGTCAAATTACAAAAAAGGACAGATTTTGAACACGTATGGGGTTGAGAATACATACCACATAAGCAAAGAGAACTATGGCTTCACCATGAATAATGAATGAAAAAACTCTAGAGATACGAGGCAAGCACTGAACATTAAAGATCACTAGAACCACGCGGGTTCTAGTCGGTTGTGAAAATAATCTGATCGCTTCCTAATTATATATTTGAGAATCCTTTTTTCCTCGTGGGCCCTATCCTACATCAACTTCCGCCGTATTTCAGTGCATTCGAAGATGGAAAAATATCAAGGAAATGGAGATGCCACGTAGATACCACATTATCATTTAAGAAAGTAGCGAAAGTAGATTTTTAAGAGAAACAAACATTCATTTTTGTTAAGAAGTAGCAAAAGTAGCATTTATTTCCTCTACTTCTGTTATTTCACAATTACTTCCGTGCAAACAAACGGGCCATAAACTAGACTTAAGTAGTTCTAATTGAAACTCAGTTTGATTATTTTTTACACTAGATTCTATTTGAACTAGTTCTCTTCTAGACCATGAACGAGTTTAATTTGCTTCTAATCTAGTTGTTGAGCAAAATTGGGCCTTCAAAAGAACTAATCTATTTGAAAAACACTACAGGCACACCCTCAACCACACCTTGGGGCACACCCCCTCTCTCAGCTACAGTGCACGAGGCCCATTTTAGATTTAAAAAAAAAATCTAAAGTGGGCCCCCTGCACTGTAGCTGAGAGAGAGGGTGTGCTCCAAGGTGTGGTTGGGGGTGTCCCTATAGTGCCACCCAATCTATTTCATCCTTTTCCTTTTCATTTGCCATAGAAGGGCTAAGTCCATAAACTCATTTATCTCCAATAAAAGTAGTTTATCTAGTTTGCCAAATAGGCCCTTAGATTCTGTAGGGAATTCAAGAAAATATACACAATCCACAAATGGTTAGGAATGCAGTTCTTTCACTATACACTTTGTTGAGACCATGTTTGAGTTATTTCTTTCTAATCTTATTTTCACTTTGGCATCCTGAAATTTACTTTTTTTAACTTTGATGCCCAAATTTTTTAAAAGTTTGATACCCCAACATTTCACCCAAATTAAAATTTAGTACCTCCATCCAAATTATGTTTAATTTATTGTTAAAATTGTATCATGTGCTTTTCATAGGACACATTAAAAGTCAGTTTATACCCCTCTCATGATTAATTTTACTCACCCCATTTCTTCATTCTTATACTGTGCATTTCCAACCTACTCTTAGTGACATTCTAATTTTGTTCTTCATTTCTGAAAAAATAGCTAAAATCTTGTATGAAATCATATATGAATTTTGGAGGATTTAGTTAGGGAGGGTTTGCAATGGAATAGTTGAGAGGGATGGAAAAAATAAGGGGGGGGGGGGGTGAGGCTAGACTAGAACAGACTACGATATTATGTTGGCTGAGAGAAACCAATATATTAAACTGGGTAAAGGATGAACACTGATAAGCCCAAAGAGTATGCGTGTGTTTAGCAACCTTGTAAAATTGAGTCAAGACTAAACCTGACCCAATTTGAAGTTATTTCTTATTTGGCAAATTCTCAGGCTAGAGCTGGCCTAATTTTTTAGCCCAAAATTTGACACTAAACCAATATTCTTTTTTTTTTTGTGTGTGTGTGTGTGTGTGTGTGTGTGTGTGGCCAGGAGTAGTCCTGGCCCAGTTTTGTGTAGTTTACCAAACACACCATATATATAGATATGTTAATTGTTTTGGGTGGCTACTACTCCTAAACTACTTCCACTTTTTTGAAAATTGATGATTTATCAAAGGATCTCACACTTTTCTCTCTTGTCATAGAGGAGTAGATTGTAGAAGCATTATCACAATTCTTGGTAGGATCCTAAAAAAACAATAGACTATCATAAGGTATTAAAGTAAAATGTGGAACTTTCGAGTATCAAATTCTCAGAAAAAATTTTGAGGGTATCAAAGTTAAAAATTATAAGGTAAACTATGGGCTAACGAAGTAAAAATAAATCCATTTTTTTCTATATGATTTATGTCATTTTTTGTGTGACCTCAATTGTACACAAAATCAAAGGATATTGTACTTGATTCTTATCCCTTCTTTAAATATTTGGTTGAACTCTCAAAGGTTAAAAAAAAAGTAACATGTGTCATATCATAAATATTTATGTATCTCTCTATCTTATCAAAAGATAACAAATAGACAACTAAAATTATAATAAGCCAAAAAAACTTTATTATTATAAAATATTTTCTGCAATCTAAAACATTTACACAAATTACTGTAAAATATTATCTCAATTTCTTCATGCTTTATCTGATTTTTTTTCTGATAATTAAATTGAGATTCTAATGAGCTTGTATGTAAACATCATAGGATTGAGGTTATATCATGAGATTATTCTAGGAGTAAATATCTGAAATCTTAAGATTATTTTATGGATATTTTCAAATAGGAGTGCTAAACCATATTCATATCCGGGGAAATATCTGTAGTTGTATCTGTTAGGATACGAACATGGTTACTCAAATCTATAGCCAGTAGAATATGGTTATGTATATAGTTTTGTAGTGAAATATTGGATCC